GTGGGTCTGACCGGCTGGCAGCCACCGCTGGCGAGACAGATGTTGTGACGCCTACCGAGCCAGCAGCCAGGTCAACCCAAAGGATAAAAATGAAACTTTTTAACCTTTTGAAAATGCATTTAAAAATGTCAAAACTCAGTGTTGCTGTAATAAAGTTTTGCTTAAGAGGTTACATTGATGTTTTCGCAATTTTAGAGCAGTTTGTGTCAGAAAAGAAAAGAAATACACATCACATTTATCCTGGACTCTTGAGTTGCTTCACTTCCCCCAGAAATTCGGTGCTCCTAAATACACTAGAAATAAAAACAAATCAACATTCAAAAATCGCTCCCTTGGGACCGTTGACCTTGCACTGGCTGTTTTGTGGGGTCTCCAGCAGTGCTGGGGTGCTCGGGAGGCCCTGGGCACAGGACTGATGCCGACAGCTGCCCGCAGCAGAGCCTGGCACAGGCGCCGAGACAGCTGATCTAGGTGAAACTGTGACCTGCGTTTCCTCAGTAAGCCCAGGCCTTCCCCAGTGTGTTTAGCCAGAGCAGGGGGCACTACCTGCAGTAACACCCCTTAACGCTGCTGCCTTTTCAAACCTGCCTCCCAGCCCTGCTGAGGGTTGATAACCCCAGCTCTGACATCCCGATGCTCAGCAAACTCCTCCAACGGGCTGTCTAGGTAACGGCACACTGGCCTGGAAATGCTGCCTGGAACGTAACAGCAGATACATATACACACGAAACAAAGCGTTTTCTTGCTCTGTAAAGAAAAATGCCTGCCAGCCAGTGGGAGCACTCAGGCGAGAATTAACTACCTGTCTGGAGTTCCCAACGGCTTCATCCGCACTGGAACTGGAACCCATAAAAGTGAGCCCAGGGTAATCATAACAACAATTTCATATATATAAATATAAAACCCCCAAGTACTCAAAATGCAAATTCTGACAGGAGGTTAATAAATTACAAGCTGGCCTGGTCTGATTAATGTCATGACAAAATTACTGCATGCTTGGCATTTCTTAGGCCTACGGTTTAAAGGAGTCACTGCCTGTTTCTGCTCTACTATCAAGCACCGGGGAGCACAGCTTCTCCCCGCTTGAAGAGGGGCACCCTGCTCGCTGCTGGAGCCCACATGCTCGGGGTGTCAGCGCTGCCTGTGCCTTCTGCCGGAGCTCCCCAGGGCACCGGGTGAGCTCCGATTGAATTAACAGGGTGCACGCCACCTCGGGCCGGAGCTGGCTCTTTATATGGAAATTAAAGAGCATAAACAGCCATCCCAGGGCAGCACCAGGGAAGAGCAATTCTGCCGGCACCTCCAGGCAGGTGCAGCCAGCTCTCCAGGCGGCAAAGCCGTGCCCTGCACCTCCCCTCACCAGGCTGCCCCGCAGCGACAGCACACTCTGGGTGCAGGGGCAGCTGCTTTAATGGGGTCTGTGCATCCATCCCCCTTGCAGTAAATGGAAAACATAGCCTTAGGTGTTTACATTTGATTGGGAGGCCGGTTTTAATCTCCTTAGGCTGGGAGGAAAACTCATTTAGAGAAAGTACTTATGCTCCCCAAAGCTGAAGAAGAGACAGCTCGTTAACTGCCTCCTTGCCAGGACAGGCACGCAGGGCGGCACAGCAGCAGCACTGTGGCACTCGGGTACCCAATATGAGATGAAACACAGCACTTCATAGCACGCCTGCCCAGAGCTGGCACAGCCCGGGCACCGCCCCAGCGCAGCTCCCATGTCCACGCACCAGCCAAAGCACCAGCCTCAGGAACAAGGAGCACCCCTGCCCCCCGACATCAACCTGCCGTGTCAGGGCAGCATTACCGGTACTGCGGCACACTGGTAACACCGGCAGCAGTTTTCATCTGAGACCCTGAAAGGAAAGGCTCCTCGGCAGCCTTGGTCTCCTGGCACTCACCCGTAGCATGGTGATCATGGAGGGGTCTCGGAGACGGCCGTCCTCATCCTTGAGATTGTATCCCTCCGGTCTCTTGTCCCGCTCGCTGACCTTCCATAGCTTCACAGTCTTATCTGGGGGCAGGAGAGAGGAGAGCGTCATGGCGAAGGAGCTCCCCGAAGGGGTGAAATGGTGACCGTAACCCACCCCAAAGCCATCCTGACCTTCCCTGCCCAGGAACTGCGCAGAGCCCAGCATCCACCGCAGACTGAAGGCAGCTCCAAACTGCCCCCCAGCAGCTCCCCGTCCCCTCGTGGCATCCCACCCACCCCATGCCACAAAGTCCCCAGGGGAAGGAGCCCCAAGAACACATGGGTTTATTCTGAATAATGGTGTTTTCTTTCCCCTCTCCTGGCAGAGACTCCATCAGTAGTTTATCATCACTTCCACCAGGTTTCATACACAACCTTTAACATCCATCTTCATTTTCTCCTTTACACGGCAATTCCAACGGAGTGCCATTAATTTTGTTTTTATTAACCCACTGTACTTCAGGACGTTTCTACATATAATGTTAGTTTAACAGTAAGAACAAGACGAAACAGCATAACACCGGAGTATTTCTAAAAGAATCATTTTGATAACCTGCTAGCATATGAAACACCATCCCAAATGAAAGATAATATCCCTGTTAATCAAAAAACTATTTAAAAACTCAATTAAGAGAACATTATGCTCTATAATTAATCTTCATTGCATTTCAGTGATTTTGCCCCCAAATGAGTTTAATAAGTCTTTGAATTTTATTACAATGATCAATAGAGTCAATTCTATAATACAAAGTAAGTTGGTTATGGAAGATAATTAGACCCCTCCTTTTCCCCTGAAGTAATTAAGTCACATCCATCTTGAGGTCCTATTCATCCCAAGTAATATTCCTGGATCCTCCTGATATTTATCTGAATGTAACATGGAACTGGTGAGCTGAATGCAGCTGCAAATTGAAACAAATCGGCTGCAGTTTTTCTCTAAAAAAAAAAAAAAAAAGGTAGTTCCCAGGCTCCAAAAAACAAATAACAAAAGTTGTCAGCAGAGGGAAAACACTCCCTCCCTTTCAGGGAACGGCTGCTGTGAAATCAGGACGAAACCTCGTGCACAGGAATCGAGCTCTGCCAGACAGTTTTGGACCCGTTCCAGCTCCCCGTGACACCTGTGTTACCCTGAAGGGAGTCGGTGTTTTCCTAACATAGATTTTTCCCACAGAAACACTACAGAGAAGGCCCTGTCTGGCTGTCAGGGCCCCGGGATCCGAGGCAGTGGGATGGCAGCGCCGGTGTGTGCCCAGCCAGTCCGGGCTGCCCGCAGTCACGTACCGTTGGTGGAGAGCAGGAAATAGGCTGCGTTCTGCTGTGGCAGCCATCGGATCTTATTGATCTTCTCCTCTATCTCCAAACTCTTCAGGTAATCGAACTCTGGCTCGTGGCTCTGGAAGGTGCTGTAGACATTGTACTCTCCCCTGCGATGGGGCTGGTTTTTGCTCTGCAGGAAGGGAACAGAGAGCAGTTTAAGGCACACGGAGCCAGAGAACACTTTCTGACGGTTCTCTAGGGTTAGTGCAGTGATGGCGAGCACCTGGTCGCAGCGACGCAGCGCAGGTCTGAAAGCCAAGGCACGGTCTCCTCGGCATGGTGGCTCCCGCACGCTGGTGTGCTCGGCAGGAACGGAGCAGGGACAGGGCGGGAGCAGCCCGCTGCACTGGCTGTCCCCGGTGAACGGCTGGGACCGAGCGCCAGCTCTCAACAGGCGCCAAAACCAGCCCGCGAGGAGCTGCTGGCAGCACGCCCCTGCACGGAGAAGCGGTGTGTGCCACACGGGTGCACAAACACATGGCAGGAACAACGCAACCAAGAGCAGGGCCCGTCTCTGCAGGAACCGGCGCTGCGTGCCACCGCTCCCGTCGGACTTGTCAGGTGTCGTGTATCTGCAAACCCTGCACGGTTAACCCCCCGGCACCAGGCTCTGAATGGGGATGAAGTAATTAAATGGAAACTGTTGTGGAGATGAACTTGCCACATACAAATGTCTGGGCCAACGAAGCCCCTCTTGTCCCCTGGAGCACGGCACTGCTCTGAAGTAGGAGCTGAGCAGGATACACCCGGTGTGATGCTAGGAAGCTTAAAGTTCAAGAAAAGCCGTAGAATAATAAAATGAGAGGGAAATGAGAAATGAAATAGTGCTGGAAAGGTTGATGAAGCGTCTATGCGTGTAACCTTTACCCGACCGGTTCTCTCCAGCGTATACAGAAATAATTTTCAGGCTGTAACTTTGAGAAAAATTTAAAACCATCATCAGACCATGACATTTTTCATGCCAGGTCTGACTCATCCCTTCCACCATCAGCAAACGCATCCACAGGTGAGGACGGCTCCTGCCGGCTCAGACCGTGCAACGCCGCGTGCGCCGAGCCCCACCAGCTAACCAGGATGGCTTCGGCAACAGCGGGGAACCTCCCGGGCGGCTTGGGGCAGCCCGTGCCACAGGCTGAGCGCTTGCCGCTCCTGCAGAAGGCTGGGCAGGCCACGACCTCAAGGATTCAATGAAGTTTGTTAAAATTTCCTGGGGCAAAGCGTTTCAAGAAGGGAAATGCGATTGTTTCGTCCGTCTACACTTACTGGACATTCCGGCAGCGTGAGAGGGTTTCTAGGGGGGTATTAGCTGTGAGACATGACATGCCCAGATGCCCCGGCCTGATTCACGTCACACCTGCCTGAGAGCGCTGCGACCAGAGCCAAAGGACGCAGGAAACGCAACAACGTGGTTTTGTAGGGTGTTCTACAAGACAACATCTGGCCCTGCTCATGTTAATAGGCGCTTTGCAGTTTGGAGTCTGCCAGGAGAGACTCGAGGTTAGGAGTGACACAGACAGATTAGGAAGCAGCAGGAAGCTTCTCTTAAAAGGATAAAACAGGCATTTTGCATTCACTGGCACTTACCTCCTGCTCACGTTGAAATATTACAACACGCCCCCCCTTGTCCCCTGTTGCTAGTAATTCTCCAGTGTGGTTGAATTCTACTGTAGAGATGATGTCAGCTGGAAAGAAGAAGACAAAGACAATTTAAGTAACTGCAGACTGGCTTTCACAGACATCCAGAGAGCACCATTTCCCGTGCAGCTACATGCCTTGTCAGCGCTTCGTTCCCCCTGGGATCTCCATAAATATCCTTTTTTCTGTTGTCTATAATAATGACGGCCACAGCATTTTGGAACTTTGCTGTCATGAGCCAAGATCTGCTCAACACTCCTGCCCCCTTGCCCTGGCCTGTGCCCCAATGGACAAATTCAGGGGCACTGCCACCTCCACGCTGCACCTGTGCCGAATGCAGCCTGGGGACGGCTGCTGGCAGCGGGGGTACGGAGCTGGGCAGCACGGCATGGCACGGCACGGCATGGCATGGCAAGGCACGGCACGCTCCTCGGGGAGCCGCTCCCACCACTATGGGTGAGGCGATTGATTCCTTGGACCTGGGGAGGGCTCAGTGCTGCCCAGCACCCCAGCATCTCACCCCAGCACCTGCCAACGGCGCCCGTGGAAGGGGCAGACTTTACTCCCAATGGCTCTCCTGCATCCTCGCTCCCCTCCGACGCCTGGGGGGGTGGTTTGCCTTCACCCTCGGAGGAGCGGGAGCAGATGGCTGAAGACACCTTTGTATTCTTCACCTGAACTCACTGGGCAGAGCAGCCTGGGTGACCACATCAACTAGGCCACTTCTCTCTGCCCCTTGCTGGATCTCCCATCGTCTATCAAGGTCAATGGAAGTGGCACCTATTCAGCCCTCTGTCACCCCAAAAGCCACCACGCTCCCCTTCCCCACAAACCAAAGTGCCATCACCAGGAGGGAAAACCCCTGAGCAGGGACTGGTGCTCGGATGAAGTAACGAGAGAAGCAAGGAAACACGGACCTGTAACTTGTAAACGCTTTAATCTGCAGTGTTTACCCTTGAGGCAAAGCAAGCAGGAGAGCTGCTAATGATTGGATTTATCGGGCCTATTTTTAGAATAATGTCAGAGGTTAATTCCACAGCAATTATTGCCCAACTGGTGTTCACTCACTGCCTGGAGTGCAGCTCTCCACCAGCACGAAGCGGGGGAAGGAGAAGAATGAAAGCAGCCTCTGAGACCCAGTGCTGGGCGCAAGAGTGATTTCGCGATGAACAGCACTTAGCTATGTAACAGCCAGCTCGCTCCTGCCACCGGGCTGACAGCATCTGCATTTCTTTGACCCCTCAGCTGTGCAGCCCACCTGCACTAACAGGGTCTCACGGCCTCCGCAGCTCTGGCAAGGGACAGACCCCCCGTGCCGGCTGCGGCTGCAAACACTGGCCGCGTACTAAGGCCACCGGCACCACCCAGACCGTGGGCACCGGCACCCTCGCAGCACCGCAATTATTTCTCTTGCTCACCAGCTCTGTCACGTGCCAGCGGAGAAAACATCTGAACCACATAATCTGAATTGTCCCTTCTCCCTCCCACGATTTTTATCCCTCTCGGATACACACAAGACCGGTACTGCAGCAGATCAGACAAGAGAAGGAAGAAAAGGCCATCAGCCCCGAGTCAAAGACTGGCACAGACTTCTGCTGTCTGCCAGCTGAGACAGCACCCACCAGGCGCACGCCCCACACCGCAGCGTCTCCCAGACAAGCCATCTAAGAGCCCCTTCCACAGCCACGGGTCCCCTGACACAACACACCGGGATGGTCCCTCAGCCGAGCGGGGGACTGCAGGAGGGCCCCGGAGTCAGAACAGCCACCACCAGCAGGCAACGCCCGGGCAGCCACCCCGTCCCAGTGATGTGGGGCACTCACCGGCACACACTGCTGCTCACCAGCACACACCCTGCTCCTCACCGGCACAGTCACTGGCACACCCCTCTGCTCACCAGCACACCCCTCTGCTCACCAGCACACCCCGCTGCCCTCAGCCCACCCGCAGCAGCACCCCAACCTCAGGCACACCCCATAGGCAGGCGGCCGCTGAGCCTCAGTTCGCACAGGCTTTGCCGCTCCTGCTGCCCACATGGGGGGCTACGGATTCTGAGCCGTGCCATGGGGAACCAGCCCTCCAGCGCAGAGAAACCCGGGACACAAGACCATCCTTCATTTATTCACGCTGTCCACAGCTCTATGGCTTCAAGGGGACTTCCCTGCTCTCTCTCTGGATCTTCTCTCTCCCCAGCAGTGTGCAAGGAGCCCACCACAACTGCCGAGCTGTGAAAATCCAGACGGCTGCAGGCAGGTGAGTGGTGAACTCTGGGCTGCTCCTGTTAATATTCGTGCATCTTCCCCATATTGTCCCACCCCTCCAGCAGGAAGCACACTTGTAGCAACACGTGAATGCATTCTCAAGTTCATCTTCATCCATTTACAACACTTGGCTGCTGTGAATAGATCTAGGGAGACAACCCCACAGCAGACAGAGATGGCGCTGCAGAAGCAAAACCCAAGAGGCTAAGGGCAACGCTCCCGTCCTGCCGAGCAAGTGGAAAGGGCGGTGTGCTAGGAGCTGGGCTGGCTGGCACGGAGCTGGAAAGCTCTAAGGCAAAGCACTTTATTCCCTTGCATGGAACCCTTCTGCCTCAGACTGCCTCTGTGGGCAGCAAAGTCTGCCAGAAAGGTTTTAACCATCTGCTACTGATGTTAATAAAAAGGCTGGAAAGCGATGCAGAAAGGCCGAGCTCTGCTCCTGTTTACACCAGCGAGAAGCCAGGCTAAGCAGGGCGGAGGTGGCTGAAGTGCTGGGTGCAGACAGCATCTGTTGGGGATTTCAGTCTTTTGGGGTTAAATTCACTGAATGGATCTTGAACTTCTTCAGATCACCTCTTGGTTCTTCCTCTCTTGACTGGTTTGAACTATTGGTTAAACTTTGTTCCCATTTAGCAACTGGGAAAACAGGTCACGGAAGGTTTTGAGGGGTTTTTTTTCTGGTTTCCCTTAGGCAATGCAATCTACACACACTCTTGGTTGCTTTCGCTGTTCTTGCACACTCTTTAAAACGTCTTTTAACGGATCCCTCTCTGTCAATAGGTTTACAATCCGTGAATGCATCAGATAACACGATGCAGCCTCTGACCTCTAGGTCACCATTTCTCATCCAACAGGACCGGAGGCAACCAGGCACCATCTGCTGCGCCCAAGGCTTCCCCGCGCTGCGAGCAAGGTGCGTCCCTCCTCCGCACGATGCCTGAACTGAGCTGTAACACACAGCTCGGTTAGTTTTGGCAGAACAGGAAAAGAGATCAGCAACGGGCTCCCACAGTACAGACATGGTTTTGATGCTGCTGTTAAACAAGCAGCTACTATGAAAAAATCTCTGCTATACCCACCCAGTTCTTTAACCTCAGATTTGCTCGACCCATGGGCCAGAATAGCAAGGACCCACGAAGTCCCTTACACAAGGCAAACCTTTGCAAAGAGGCTACACTGAAGCTAGAACCTCAGAAATTAAATTAGCAAAACATCAGCGAACAAAACATCCACCTGATTCAGTTCTCTTTCCTGCCATCACCACATTGAGCGAATGTCTCCCAAAGGGCAGGACAGGTATTTTTAAACAGGTTGGCAGGGAACACCTAGACAGAGCAAATCCCACCCAAGCTGCTGCAAACCTGCCGGATGTGCTACAGCATTTGAGGATCCTGCAGAATCAGGAACCAATTTGCAGTTTCAAGTAAAGCACATTGGGTTTAATAAATATAAGAAAAAACATATCCCTGAAAAGTTAAGCCAAAAGCTGTCTCCCATTCTCAAGGTAGTTGCATCCACAGCTGCAGACAGATGCCACAGGCAAAACTAAACACGCTCAAGCACCGAGAAACTTTGTGCTTGGTTGAGCTGAGTCCAGTTCAAGCAGAGGTTTTAATTCCTGTAGTGGGTGACCTCCACCCCGGTGAGCGTGGCCGTGATGTCCTGGGCCGAGCCTGGCACCAGCAGAGGTGTCAGGCAGAGAGCGTGCTGGGGATGGACTCGGACAGGAGCTGCAGCAGCAGCCAAGGAACTGCAGAGGCCATGGCCAGTGTTAACATGCACCTCGCACTAAGCGGTATATATTCCTTCTAAAATTTCTCAGTTGAAAATGTATCTGGTTTGCACTATTTAATCTTCTCCATCGCCAGCTGCTGGTTTTAGGTCATTCACTTTTCAATGAATTAAAAATAACTTTCCGTGCTGCAGTGAGACATTTTTCAGACTGCGCCTGCTACCTAATGCATCACCTTGTCAGCAGAGCCATCATCTGGAATACCAGGGCCAGGCACTGCAAGGATCCTCGTATCACCCCAGCCGTGTTCACTCTGCGCCTGCGGGGAAGGGGGATGCGGGTCCACAGGACCTCCCGGACCGACCGTTTGCTCATGCCCACCCAGGATTTCAGACGAGGATGACAACAGAGCCTGGCTTACAACACACTTCCATACCTTAAAAAACCCCTAACAATTAAACACCTCTCGTGCGCAGAAGTATTCAACCCAACCCAAACCCCACCACCACTGGCAGAAGCATCTCCCCAGGCACCGGAAGGCTGGGCTCTGCTCTTGTCCCCAACCTCTCTGGGTAGTGACAACACTCTGGCATTGCACAGGAAACCACCCGAGGGGCAGAAACGAGGAGTCTTACAGAGACTGAGATTCAAGAGCCCAGTGCAGCACCAGCTCCTTTTCAAAGAGGTCTCCGCACAAACTTGGGCCCCTCCAGCGCAGGCTGGTCAGTCATGGGCTGCTGCCTGCTCATCCCCACCCACTGCACTTGAGAGACATGACAGGGTGATTATTAATTAAAATTCACGTGTATTCACATTGAAACAATCAATAATTTATGCTCGTTTCTCCTAAGGTTCCTACAGCAGTTTTGTGACAACAGAAAGGAAAAAAGCTTCTCTCTTTTTTTGCTTTTTCATTTCCTTCATCACCTCCTACATGCTCAGTGCCCCAACGCAGAGTTTAAAGAAAACAGTTTCCATGGAGACCCTCCCCTCCGCCAGCACCCGCCATCCTCCCTTCCCTCAGCATCAGGGCTCCTTCACGCTTTCATGCTAA